TGTTATAATCCAGATGAGAAATAATAAAGTGGCTTTATGGGCTAGGATGTGGTTCAGTGGTACAGTGTGTACTTTGCATGCCTTAGCTCCTGAGGTTGATCCCCAGCACTGCAAAATAAATAAATAAATAAATAAATAAATAAATAAATAAATAAATAAATGAATAAAAAATAAAGCAAAAACTAAACAAAAAAGAGAAGGGGTAAAGGGATCAAGATGTGGTATATAGGCAGGTTTTTCATCTTCCAGTTCCGGTTGCTTGGTCGCCACAGTTTACAGTTATGGCCAAGCCCAAGAATCACACCATGCACAACCCATTCTAAAAATGACAGAAATGGCATCAAGAAACCTCAGTTACAAAGATACAAATCTCTGAAGGGGGTAGATCCCGAGTTCCTTAGGAACATGAGTTTTGCAAAGAAGCACAACAAGAAGGGCTTCAAGAAGATGCAAGCAAACAATGCCAAGGCCACGAGTACACACGCCGAGGCTATCAAGGCCCTCGTCAAGCCCAAGGAAGTCAAGCCCAAGATCACTCCAAAAGGAGTAAACCGCAGGCTTGCTTGACTTGCCTGTATGCCCACCCCAAGCTTGAGAAGGGTATCCATGCCCACATTGCCAAAGGTATACAGGCCTTGCTGGCCAAAGGCCCAGGCTCCAGCCAAGGACGATGCTCCAGTTTCTGCTCCAACCAAGACCCAGGCTCCAGCTTCTGCCCCAGCCCGGGCCCCCAAAGCTGCCCAAGCCTCCGTGAAGGCTCCACAGTAAAAGCCTCTTATCTGCTGATATAAAAACAGAAGGGCTGGTGTGACCCCTGGGGTGCCATCTGTGGGGGGCTGGTGTCTTCCTGTGCTCTTTGTACAAATAAGCCTGAGGCAGGATTTAAAAAAAATGTGATATATCACATCTTTTTTATTGAGATATATATATATCTCAATTCCCCATGTTGAATTTATTTATTGTGTGTCATAAATGCATACTAATAAAAGGGGGCGGGGACCTTCACTGGCTGACCAGCTTGCTTCCTTGCTTCTTCCTATCAGTCACACCCATACAGCTACTATAGTCCTTAAGTACATTTATTACTTAATAATGAGATCATAGAAACTGTGTGGGTATTCAGTGCAACTTTAATTGCATGCCTTCTTTTCTTGTATTCTTGATTCCTATATTATTTGCTGCATATAAATAAGATACTCCAGTGGTTTCCCAGAACACAAGATTATAACCACCAACCAAGAGCATTTCTAAACAAAAAATTCTGTTAGAAGTTACATATTTAATGGGCCAGCCAGATAGCTCAGTGGACTAAAGCACCCGCTTAGGCAGACGCAGGGGCCCGGGTTCGATCTCTAGCCTGCCGTGCTAGCTCTGACCCTGGGGCGCACTAAAATGGTGATTGAGGTTGGACATGGTGCCTGTAATCCCAGCACTTGGGAGGCTGAAAAACAGGAGTGCTACAATTCCGATTTGTATAGTGAGACCCTGTAGACCCTGTACTAAATATTTTTTAAGTTATATATTTATTTTTAAGCAAGTTCATGAAAAGTATGTCTTAAAAGTAAAAATTTTTATTCCAACTCAACTGGTGATGTTATATAACTACATGAACTAGTATAGATATTTGCACCATCTATATGTGAAGTACTCTGTGGTGCCATCTAGTGGTATAAGCGCTACAAAAGGTGTAGCTTTGCTACTCAATACTTTGAGGACAGAATTTTCTCTAAAAGTTAATTTTTATAATGAAAATTTAATGAAATAGCAAAACATAAAATACTAAAGAAGTTTACTATAAAGCTTCTATAGATGATCTTATATCACTTCTTGGCCTTTTGGCTATGATCAAATGTAGGCAATTCTTATATATAACGCTAAAACACCTGCAACAAAAGAAAAGTACCTGGCTCAGTGGAATAAGCGCTTCCCTGGCAAGCGCAAGGGCCTGAGTTCAATCCCTGGTTCCACAAAAAAAAAAAAAAAAAACCTTCTCTTCCTGGCTGGAAGAATGAAGGCCACCTCAAATAATCATGCAGAATAAAAACCTCAACCCTGAAAAAAGAAAGAAAGAAAAATACCTAAGACTGCTTCACAATTTAGAACTTGTATCTATAGAAACTATCAAAAATTGAAAAGGTAGCCCACAAAATGGGAGAAAATATTTGCAAATTGTGTATCCTGTAAGACTACCACCAGAATATACGAGGGACTCTTCTAATTTAACAGGGAAAAAAAGTTAAAATATGGATCATGGGCCTCAATAGACATTTCTCCAAAGAAAATATTTAATAGGCCAATGAGCAAAGGACAAGATGCCCAGCATCATTAGTCACTAGAGAAACGCAAATCAAAGCCACCCTGAGATACCATATCTCAATTGTTAGAATGGCTTTCATAATTTAAAAAACAAAACACCCAAAACAAAATAGATGTTGGTGAGACGTGGAGAAACTGGAATTCTCTTGCATTGCTGTTGTGAAGGTGCAGACACTTTGGGAGAGGCCAGCAGTTTTTCAGATAGTTAAACACAGAATTCCTGTATGAGCTGGGCACGGTGCTGCATGCCTATGATCTCAGTGTTCTGCAGCTAAAGCTAAAAGATTGCAAATTTGAGCCTAGCCAGGGCAACAGTACTTTAGCAAGACCCTGTCTCAAAGTAAAAAATGGCAGAAGAGGTAGCTCAGTATGAAGCTTCCATCTTCAATGCTCAATACTCTCCCAGGGCCACAGACTATATGATTCTATTTCTATGAAATGTCCAAAACAGGCAAATTTCTAGAGATAAAAAGATCAGTGATTGCCAGGGTCTGGGAGGAGGAGAGCCAAGTGACTGCTGAGTGGGTATGGGACATTTAGGGTAAGGGACATATAAATGTTCTGGAATTAGGTAGTTGTCATTGTTGTACCACCTTGTAAATGTGCTATTTGTACCCTTCCCAAATATGTATGTATCATCTAAAAATTTCATTCCTGCTTGTCTTCCAGAGAGAAAACAGATTGCAAAGTTGAAGTAAAAGCAAATCTCTAAAACAAAACAGGTTGTATTTGGGAGGAATATAAACAAATTAGGATCTTTTACAGGCCAGGATGACCTCTAGTATGTCTGGAAAACAAAGGAAAGTTGGTGACCATTGAAACAGAAATCTCTGCAACTCATTATGAAATTATAAGTTTATTGGAGCTTATAGAGCTTGAGGGAACTGGAAAACTGACTGGTGAGCAGCAGCAATCCTGAGTAAAGCTAGTCTTAAGGTCACAGTGGTAGTTCTATTAATTGCTAAGAAGAAAAAATATGGCATTAAAAGATAAGAAATTCTGTTCCATTACAGTGGCCTAGCAAGGAAGTTCCTAGAATAATTATTTGAGACTTGTTTTTCTCCCTTCTCTTGGTTCTATTTTAGACATGTTTGTCAAGAAGATCTTTATTTGTATGCTCAATTTCCACACAGGAATTGAAACAGAACCTTGTACATGAATGTTCATGGCAGTATTACTCTTAATAGCTAGAAAATAGAAAAGGAACAAGTTCCTATCAACTAATGAATGGGTAAAAACATTATATCCATACAGTGGAATATTACTCAGCTGTAAAAGAAATGAAGTACTATTACATTGGTGATCCTTGAAAACATTATGAGAAGTTAACAGAAACCAGGCACAAAAGGTCACAGACTACATGATTCTACTTCTATGAAATGTCCAAAACAGGCAGAATTCTAGAGATAAAAAGATTGGTGATTGCCAGGGTCTGGGAGGAGGAGTGCCAAGTGACTGCTGAGTGGGTATGGGACATTTAAGGTAAGGGACATATAAATGTTCTGGAATTAGGTAGTTGCCATTGTTGTACCATCTTGTAAATGTACTAAAAGCCACTAAATTGTACACTTTAAAATTATAAAGTGAAGCCAGGCATGGTGACACACACCTGTAATGTCAGCACTTGGGTGGCTGAGGCAAGATGATTGCTGCAAGTTTGAGATCAGCCTGAGCTACAAAGTGAGCTCAAGACAAGCCTGGCCTGTATAACAAGACCCAGTCTCAAAAAGGCAAAATTAAATAAAATCACTAAAATAGCAGCTAGGAGTAGTGGCACATACCTGCAGAAGAAATCATGTAAGTTCAAGACCAACGTGGGCCACTTAGTGACACTCTGCCTTAAAATGTTTAAGGTACCATCTTAAAAAGAGATGACAATGTAGCTCAGGTAGAGCATTTGCTTAGAATGTGTAAGATCATGAATTCCATCTCCAGTACTATTTGCTTTCTAATACTATTTGATACATATTTTTTCATCTGTGCAGTTTCCACAGTTTTTAATTAGGTGACTGCTTACATTTTAGTGTCTATACACATAGTTTAACCATTTCTCAAATATTCAGTGGCTTTCTAATTTTTTTCAATTTCAGGAAGTCCTATTATACTGCTTAAACGAGATTGTTTTAAATCTTCTGTTGCATGGGTTTTCTTCCCCAAAACAGAACCTCTGAGTCCTTTTTAAAATTTTTATAAATATTTCTGTATTTCCCTTGACAATTATTTGGTAAATATATACAAAATTATAATTGTACCAATATGTGTAAGGAAAAATGGATGAGATTGGGGCTACTCAATGTCTACCCTATTCCAGGCTCTATGCCTAGATTCCTTGTATTTTTTCATTTAGCTCCTGTATCTCCTCTGTCCTGCAGTATCTACAGAAGCTATCAAGTGAAGGAGCAACAATCAGAACCCAAGGCTTTTCTCTCCAAGTTACATGCTGTGTTTTCCTTCAAATTTAGGAATTTTAAATTTTTTATAGTTGTGCTTTATTTTTTGAGCTGTTTATTATAGAGATTCTACATTTCTCAAGTGATTATATTTCATAATACATACTAATCTGTATTTTTGTTCATTTATTAATGGGTGTTAAACTAAACATTCTTGTTTTCTGGTAGACTGACATTATGTGTCAAAGCCTTACTAAGAATTTTTTTTTGCTTCTGTTTACTGCTCTCTTCTAGGCTCTTGATGGAAATGTGTATGATCACCTCAAAGATTATTTAATAGCCTTCAGCCAGACTGAACTTGAAACATGCCAAGCTGTGCAGAACACATTCCAGTTTCTACTAGAAAACTCCAGCAAGGTAAGGTACTGTTCATGTAAAGGATAGTGTTAATCCCCAGCTCTGTAGTACTTTATATGTTAAAATCTAAAGTGTTTTGCACTCAGAAAAAATGAAAGTATCAGTGATATTAAAATAATGCCTTAAAGGACACATTTCAGGATACAGCATCCTTTTAACAAGAGTTGGAGAATGTTCTTGTGGATGAGTTGGTGACATTATTACCACAACTGAAAGCAGAAAGGTAGGTGATGTACCAGGCCAGCTCAGAACATCATGATGCCCCAAATCATGTGCCTTGCACTTGAGAAGAACGATTTAAACAGTTATATCTTTTTTTTTTTAATGTATTTGGTACAGGATCTCACTACGCAGCTCTGACTCATTGTGATCCTCCTGTTTTCAGCCTCCCCAGGGCTGTGATTACCACTCCTAGTTTTGGTGGCCAGCTCAGTGCACCTGGGTTTGGGGCCAGTGTAGCATGTGGTCCCTGTACTCACCTAAGCAGGTGCTTAGTCCGCTGAGCTGTCTTGCCAGCCGTAATAGTTATATTTTCTGCTGAAATGAATTTTGAATATGTTCAACTCAGTCATTTGGGAGAATAATAAGGTCATGTCTCAGTTCAGAGAAGTAATAAGGCACAATGGAGAAAATAACATTTGATAATATTGATTAAAATAAATACAATATCTTATTACAAATTAAACTATTTTCTACATGTGTTATCTTTTATGGGTAGTAGTCTTTCACTTAAAAATGTTAATGGGTCAGCTTTGATGATGTGTCACACTGTGTGCTGAGCAAATAAATGTGATTAGTTTTCTTTCTTAATCATAAAAAAATATGATTAAGGCTTTGACACATAATGTAAGTCTACCAGAAAACAAGAATGGTTAGTTAACACCCATTAATAAATGAACAATACAGATTAGTATGTATGATGAAATATAATCACTTGAGAAATATAGAATATAACAAATAGCTATAAAGTCTGATTATAACTTTTGAGTTTAAAAAATAGTTTTGTAGAAGTTTCACTATAGAAACTATTCTTCAGAAGATAAATTGTACCTGTGATTAGTGCATGTTATTTTCTTTCTGATAAAAGCATAGTATTTCCTGACCAAGTACATGTATTTATAAAAATATATGTGTTTTCTAACTGATATTTTAAAAGATCTATTTCAATTCCCTTTTGTGGCAGGGAGTCTAGAAACTAGCTGATACTTTTAGAAACTGGAAAAGAGACTAGAATATCCACCTTTAAAAGATAATGGTCAAAGACAGGAGAGAAAAAGGGACACAAAAATCTGTATTTTCAAAAAAAAATTTTAATCATTTATTTATTTTATTTGTGTGTTTGCTTGTTTGTTTGGGACAGGATCTCACTACACAGCTCAGACTCGTAGTGATCCTCCTATCTCAGTCTCCCCAGCCCTGAGATTGCAAGTGTGTGCCACCACACTTGGTTGTGGTGGCCTGCATTATACATCCAGGGTTCCCAGCCGGCTCAGCATGCAGTATCAGGGATAGAGAATCCTGGTCCTTCCACTTGCCAGGCAGGCACTTAGACTGTTGAGCTATCTCCCCAGCCCAAAATCTATCTCACATATATTCTTGTTTTCAGTGTACCAGAGTGCCAAATTCGATTTTTAGAAAAACATTAAAAATGCTAAGTTATATGGATTACTTACTAGCCTGATGCTTTTAAAGTCTAGATGGATGGATGGATGGATGGATGGATGGATGGATGGATGGATAGATAGATAGAGATAGATACATACATACATACATAGATATCCCTCAGAATCCAATAAAAAATAAAAACGGACCAATGTGTAGAAAGAAGTGTGCATGGATAAATGGGTAGTAAGTTTTGAGAAAGAAAATGAAGTACTATGTTAAATGCAGAATTATAGAAATAGGTATGTAGTATTTACAGTTCTTTTTGCATTAGTGTATTTTATTTGAAATTTTTCATAGGATGGTCTTGAAAGCAAGTCTATAAAAGTATCTTGGCTTTGTTT